AGTCCCTAGTCTATCAGCATAGTAAGATGCTACCGAGTCTTTACTTGTCTTCTCTGTGCTGTGCTGCCTTCCCCATGACCTGCCTATATTGTGATTGAGAATCATAGTGCCCTTTAATCCCCTTCTCTCTCCCTCCCCATCCACCCTCACCAGCCCCTCCCCTTTGGTAACCACTAGTCGCTTCTCGGAGTCTGTGAGTCTGCTGAAGCTCATTTTTATGCAGCTAAATAATTGAGAGAAAATTCAGATAAAATGTTAATAGATTATGAAACCAATGAAATGGGCATAAATTATTCTGATATCAAGAATTAAGTTGTAATGAGACATTTCAGTGCCACATGCAGTGATTCATTAGGAAGGAGCACATTTTGAAACTAAGTAATAAGTAGGACCTTAGACCCTTGATGATCCTTATCTCTAAGGAGGGGCTCCTCTGGGTGGGTGGAGGTTTCCCCCAAAAGATACATCTTTTTGTCAGCCTAGAGTATGCGGGGTGCAGCTATTATAGCCTTGGCCAGGCAGGGGACCCCAGTTAGCCTGGGCTTCTCTTGTTGGCTCTTCATCCCCCAGCTCCTCCCATGATCCATGCAACCCAGCCCCTCTCTAATGAGCCAGTTAGGAGTTCTTCAGTTCTTTGGCATGAGCAAACAAGAAGAAACCCAGAGAAACATTCTGTGTTTAGTTAGAGTCAATATTTGCTCCCCCTGACTCCTCTGTCCTCCTCCAGTTTCAGAAGAACCTTTGTCTCCGGATTAGTCTGGCTGAAGTTATTTTTCTTACCATCTGTAAGGGGGATTTTCCAATTTTGCCAACAATAAAGTAACCCTTGGGCCAAAAGAGCTGAAAATGTTTAGTCTTCAGCAAGGCATGCAGACTCGCAGGGCAGCAGAGTCCCAGCAACTTAACTTTGAGAGCGCCGTTGTCTCTTTTATGCAATAACCTCTCTCGTCTCTCCTTTGCGCGCCCAGCGTCAAATTTCTGGCTCTCGCAATTCATAGTAACTGCCCTTTGGGATGTCGCGGAGAGATTTATTGCAGCTGGAATGCCACACAGTTATCCAAATAGGTGGTTTGGAGCAAGAGAACGGATGCCGAGTTTGGAGCCTGGAGGGCGGGCTCTGCTCTCAGGTTTTTCTTGCTGGGTGATTATGGGCAAGTCATTTCCTTGCCTCGTGCCTCAGTTCCCCCAATTGTAAAAAGACTGTGATGAATTGGCTGATCTCTTTTCTAGTTTTTTCTAACTCTCTATATGAGTTACTCTGAAAGGAGGCAGCTGAGACAAGGATCAGGAGAGTTTGTACAATGGCTTACATTCAATGAGTGACGAAGGAGGCCCCTCTCTGCATATTCTTGGGGGGAGGGGTAAAAGAGGCCTTATCTTTAAAGCAAACGTTTGTATCAGTAAACTGTATCGTGCCAGGCCTATGGGCGTCAGGGGGTAAGTTGTTTTGGAGGAACCAGGGATTCTGATCATCAAGGCAAAATTGACGAGGACCTCGCTCAGTAGAGGTAGACCAGGAAGCCTGGTGAATAGGTAGGTACGAGGAGATAGAAGGCCCAGGTCAAAGCAAGAGAGAGCCAGGAACTGAGCAGAATACATAGAAGCTGCCAAAATAGCTTGTAGTGGAGGAAGCCCCTCCTGCCCCAGCTAGGGGGCCTTTCCTAGGGGTCCTACTGAGCCAGGTGCTGATGATGAGACTCTGCCCCGGCCAAGCCACTGTTTGCCAGCTCAGGAAGGGTGCTAGGGAAGAAGTGAGTGTGGTTGGACTCAGACTAAACCCATCTCATGTTTTTATATGCAAATCTCATGAATATTTATGCAAATAAACATGCAAAGCCATTTATTGAAATTAAAAGACAAATATGTAAGTTACACTAAATGAGTATCAACTTTAAAAATCAACATTACTTTGATAAAAATTGTTAATTCATCTTTTGAAAATGTTAATTAGGTCTTTAAAATATCTTATAAAAATAAAACTGTTTTCAGTTTTAGCTTTGAATGTCTGCATGGGGTCAACATATAGAATTAGTATCATGCCTCATGTAAGCTATGGATCGGCATGAAAATACACAAATTAAAAAATAGTATGATTTATTTACTTTCACGAAGTATTCCCTAGCCATCATTTTGTAACCTCTGTGAATACGGCACTGATTTCTGAGAGCCTCCAGAACTGTACACTGGGACATAGAGGCAAGGGACAGACACTCGACGATGCTTAACTCTGCACGAATCTGTTGTGTTCACATCTAAGAGGGAGAATGTAAGTTAATTAATTTGCCTTTTATCTAAGTGCATGCGCTGCTCAAATCTTGCCACCTTCTGAAGGGAGATGTCCATCTCCAGGGTTGGCAGCCACACAACCCACCAAACCTCATGGCTCTTGGACCCAGTTTCCTTTTGATTCACAGACCCAGGGCAGGAGATGTGGGGAAGCATTCCTCTGGGGCCTGAATTCTATTACACCTGAGAGTGGATGTGTAGGGTTATCGGCAGTCCTGTGCCAAAGCTGAGCTCTGGATCTCTGGTGGCAGAAGCACTCTCATGTTCTTTAGTACATGAACTTGTCTTAGTGATATGTGAGAGCTGGTAAAGGAAGGGCTCAGAGAAGGGACCCCTTTTGCCTGGATCTGAGTGACTCAGTCAATAGATGCCAGTGTGGATGGATGCTGGTGAAAGATTACACATTCAAAGGAGAAATGAAGCTGAACCATAGATAAGAAAGTTTCATTTTTGGAGCATTCCTTTCCCTAACCTCTCTTCTTTCCTTATAGATCAAACTGATCATTATCCTTTGATCCACTTCTACATTTTTTTATTATTACAAATATCACATTGTAAAATGTAATTTAAAATATATGTTAATATTTGTTTCCCTGGCTAGGTTGAAACCTTGAGAGTCAGGTTGGTATCTAAACTGTCTTTCTGTTTCCTGCATGCAGCGTGGTGACTGGTTTATGACAGGCATGTGGGCCAAAGCTGACTGTGAGTGTTAAGAGCTTGTTCTTTGAAGCCAGACATCCTGAATTTGAATCCTGGTCTCTCTACTTCCCAGTTGGGAAATTTCTTAATACCCTTAAGTCTCAGTTTACTCATCTGAACAGTGGGATGGTGACATTCCCGCCTCATATGGCTGTTCTGAGGCTTACATAAGATAACATTTGTAAAATGCTCAGCATGGTGTTAGCTGTTGTAGTTCTTCCATTATTATTCCAAATTGAACTATCTCCTTGTACCTGTCTCAGTGTCAACATGCAAATATACGAGGCAGTCCCCACTGGGGCACTTGCAGGGATATTGCAAGGAGGCATTACGGTCAGGTCAATTATTAAACTTGAAAGTGACACTGCGTATGTGCAAGGTCTGCAGGTCTTTGAGCCGAGTGGGAGGGAGGAAGGATTAAGGAATCCGTCTAAGCTGTAAGAGGCCTGGAACCCATGAAACACAGACCTTCAGCTGTCATTCTCCTCCTGGAAGGTGATGCTCTCTGGCAAATATTTCCTGCACTAATGGGGTGGTGGTGATGGCCCTGTCCTGAGGCAGCTTCCATCTAAAGCTGAGGAGCTAGAGAGGGTTGTAACTTGAGACCTCACTCCAGCAGGCCTCAAATCTCAGCCAAGAGTACCAGCTTTCCAAGCTCTGCTTCCGGGATGGCCGTCCCCCTGCTTCTCAGGTACAGGGCATGTCCTGTCTCTGCAACTGGGAAAACGCACAGGCCGTTGTGAGCCGGTGTGTTCCTATCTGTCATCTGACTTCCTTAGTCATCTGCACTGGCCCTGAGAAGCATCTTGGCTTTCCATTGCTCTGACTGACCACAGTACTTGCTATTTTGGGCCCTGGGAGGAGGCAGGGTCTGCAGCCTCTGTTCTATGCCATCAGTGTAGCTAGTTACATTTCCAAGCTCTGATTCATCTCCAGGCACTGGGCCAGGTGTGCAGGGGACAGGAAGAGTGTAAGAAGGCTCTCTACTCCTGACAGCTTGCCCTCTAGTTGGGGAAAGAGATGAGATGCTAGTCAGCTGTTAATATATAAATATATGTCCTAAGTGTCAACTTAATGTTTTGCAGGGCAAAGGTGGTGCCCTGTATAGGTGACTGGGATGTATGTTTGAGGAGGGAATTTCAGAACAAGTGACGTTTCTTGCCAGGTTAGGATGATTTCCTGACCTTAAAGTTTCCCATTTAGCTGTAGTGCCCACATAACCAGGATGGGTGCCACCACCCAATTGCCCAGATTTGAGTTTGGGGGGAGTGGTGAGGTGTCAGACTCTTGCCCAGACTGGTATGATAGTGTAATTCTTAGAGCAACCTGGGATAGGATTTGCAGATCACTTCTCATGAACACCCCAGGCTCAGGGGTAATCCTTAGAAACGGTTAAATATTGTGTTACAGCTTCCCTTGGCTCAAAGAACAGAGCTGCTGCTGAAGCAGAGTGTGGCTTTCCACCTAGTATGTATCTCTGGCAGCCACGTGGGTATATGAGGCAGGGGCCCAGGCCAAATGTGTGACTGACATGGGGCCAGATTGCAAGGGCCACCATGGGGCTTGGAGCAGCATGCCCATCTTGGATGCTCCAGGGTCTCAGGACAGGCCACCAAGAGTTCCATTTGCAAAGCATTGCAGATAGGAGTAGGGGTGTTTCTTGATCGTGCTCCGGATTAGTCTCTGGGGTCCTTGTAGTAAGTTCCTATTGGACGTGTCTACTCAACTCCACAGGTAGGGCAGCCTTGACAGTTCTAAAGAGCAACAGGGCCACTCAAGGTGGGTGGTTTGTAAGACCTGTCACCAGATGGGAGTAACTTTGCTTCTTCAAGAAACCTTGAAAGGGGTTCTCATAAGGAGGAACCACAGCACATGTCCATCATTGTCATCATCACCACCATTATCGTTTATTACATAAGAGCAGTCCTTAAGGGCCCACTATGTGTCAGGTGCAGTGCTGTGACTAATTGTCCTAACAATCTTGTGAGCTAAATGTTACTTTCCTCATTTTACAGGTGAAGCAACTCAAGCTCAGAGATGTTAAGTAACTTGTTGAAAGTTGACTTACTGCATTAAAGTGGCTGGGATTAGAACATCGGTCTGTCTGACTCTGAAGTCCATGTTCCGCTCTGGCAATTGTTTCCACAACAGCAGTAGAGATGTAGTGGTGTTGGTATGAGGTGAGCTTCCTCTGAGTGTAACTGCTGGAGATGCAGCACCAGCCGGGATTCCTGGTTGCAAGCAACAGAAACTAAAGAGTGAATTAAACAGCAAAGGCATTTATTGGAGAGTCATAGGGTAAATCAAATACTGATATAAAGACTGAGGAACCAGGCAGGAACCTGCCTCCACTGAGACACCATGGGAAATTCCTCTAGGAAGGTGTTTGGATTCTGGGAAGCCAAAACAGAATGACAAACATTTACTGCAGACTCCTAGAAGAGTGTCAAGGATTGGAATCCCAATAATGAACATTTGTACTCAAGTGTAGCTAAACCACTGGTGGCTGAATTTTTGATGCCCTCAAGACTGAGGGCCTGGAAAAACAAGTCATCTACACACATCTGAGCAAAGAGGTGATCGAGCCCCTTCCATTTGCCCCTCATATAACAACCAAACTTATGTCAGCAAGCTTTTGTAGTGACTGCTCCCCATGTGCACACACATCAGAACTGACTCATACTACCCAGCCCCCAAGATGGCCCCCAGAGATCTTTGCCTGCTGGTATTCTTCCCCTTTTATAGCCACTCCCATACTGTATCAGGGCTGACCTCCGTGAACAATAGAATATAGTGAATATGACTTCGGGTGACTTCCAGAGCTAGTCATGGAGGCATTGCAGCTTCTTACTTGGTCTTTAGCATAGGAGGCTGTGGGGGAAGCCAGTTGCCCTGCTGTGAGGACACTCGAGCAGTCTCATGCCAGCCATGTGAGTGAGCCATTGAGTTTCGGAGTAATTTGCTACTCAACAATAGTTGGAGGTAAGAAAGATAGGAGTGTGAAATATGTGTGAAAATACTGTGTGTGAGAGCAGTAACTACGGAAGACACATAGTCCTTCCTGGGGCTAAAAGGGACCTCCCAACAGGTATGGACATTTCCTCAATCAACAGCATTGACAGGTGCCCAGACTCGCAGCAGACCTGGAGCTCTCTTATCTGTTCTTCATGTGTGGTTGTGTTTCCAAATAGGCTAAATATCTTGGCCTCCTGGGGCAAGGGTAGGGCAGTGGTGGGGCCTAGGGTAAGGCAGTTCAGGAACAACAGCCTTCCTTCGATGGCAGGTGTCTGGCTCTCTAAGCCCATCAGCCACAGACCTTCATGTACTGTGTTTTCCCTTTGTGTAAGCCAGGGACAGCACACTATGGCCCATGAATCACTCATCTGTTTTTGTAAATAAAGCTTTATTAGGACTCAGCCATGCTAGCTCATTTGTATACTGTCTAATGCTGTTTTTGTGCTACAGTGGCAGAGCTGAGCAGTTGTAGCAGATATCAAAGGTGGTCTGCAAATACCTACTGAATACTAAGTAATAGTAAAAGACATACTCTCTGGCCTTCTAAGGAAAAGCTTGCTGACTCCTGGTAGAAATGGTCAAAGTTGGCTAGCACAGCTGAGAGCCAGAGAGGCATCCTCTGCAGAGGATGGAGAGGCATTGTGGCTTTCCCCCTCTCCCTTTGTCAAGATGCAGGACTTTCTATAGGACGCAGAGTAGAGATGTCAAGGGGAATCTCACCAAATCTCGACCCATGAGCCAACAGATGTCTACCCTCCTGCATTAGTTATCTATTGCTATGTAGCAAATTGCCCCAAAACTTGGTGCCTTAAAACAACAAATAATGATTACCTTTCACAGTGTCTGTGGGTTAGGAATCTCAGAATGGCTTAGCTGGGTGGTTCTGGCAGTTCTAGGTAGTTGGGTTGAAAGCATCTTTGCGGCAAGCATTTTCACAGCATTAAATAATTGGCCAAAGGGCAATTTTGCTGTAGATAAATAGCTAGCCGACACATTGGTTTGACAGTTTGTTGCTTTCATCAACTGGCTGACATTTTGGTTTCATTTTCCTCTTGATGCAGTACTCCCATTTTTATATTATATAAATCTTAGCCCTTGCAACCGTCTACTGTGGCGCAAAGCTTTGAACCCACATTTTCCAAAGAATTTTGGAACATCTATCAATGGACATGCAACAATATGGCAAGAGCAAACAACAGTGTCGAGGACTTTCACAACGCACTACAAAGCTTGGTTACAAGTACACATCCTGGTATTTGGGAACTGATACCTCTCTTAATGAAGGAAGACATTTTAGCAAAAAAAGAGAAAGTGTGATGCTAAACAAGGAGATGAGCAAAAACAAAAAAATGTGTCATACTATGAATAAAAGACTTTGAAGACAAGGGCTTACGTACAACTCACCAAAACAAAACAGCTATTTGCATAGTATTGTTCTGAATCTACACACATTTTAAATGTATTCAGACATTTAATATTTTGCAATAAAGTCTTTCAATTTTGTTACTCATTTTTCAAATTTCATTGTGGCCTTTTTAAAGAATGCCCCTCTTTTATTTTTTATGATTTTGTGTCTTATGGCAAAATTGCCTTACAGCTAATTAGTTATGCTTGCCCACAAGCATATGCTTTCATTGAAAACATTTGTAACAAAGATGCTTACAGAGAAAGCCTGGACACAGGCTCTGGCTTGGGGTCTTTCATGAGGTCAAGATGCTGCTGGGGCTACAGTCTCCTGAAGCCTTGACTGGGGTTGGGAGATGTGATTTCAAGGTGGCTCACTCACAGGTTGCCAAGTCCGTGCTGGTTACTGACAGGTTGCTTCAGTTCTACCCCATGCGGGCCTCTCCATAAGCTTCTTGAGTATCCCCACAACAGGGAAGCTGGCTGCCCCCAGAGAAAGCACACCACCATTTCTATAACATCCTGTTAGCTGTTAGCGATTAGGGAAGGACTACACATAGGCGAATACGTAGAGGCAAGAATCATTGCGGGCTCTCTTAGAGGCCGGATACCACATATCTCACCCCAAGTAAGGGCGCTCATGAATGACAGAAAATGTGCTTTGGACAGAGAAAGAGATGGAGACTCTTAGTGGTCCTGCACGGTGGGTTGGAAAGAACTGAGCGCTGGTAGTCGGGATACCGGGGTGTCAGTCCTGGCTGTGCCTCTGACCGCCCGAGGGCCCTTGAAGGAGCCATGCCCCTGTGGGAGCTGCCATTTTCTTATCTCTGATGAGAAAGGCTTTGAACTCAGGTCAGTGTGGCATGTGAGCCCAGTCCCTACCACAGCCAGTTCCTTCGTCTCTGTGGACTTCAGTTTCCTCATATGTAAAAGTGAGGAGGAGAACCAGCCTCCCTCTTTAGGTTGGTGTGCGGAATAAATGAGCCAGGCCATTTAGCACAGATGAGGTGCTTAATAAATATTAGCAGCCATCATTAGCAGCAGAAATAGATGTAACACCCCTAGCTGTAAGATCTGTTATCCCACAGTCTGTCAAGCCCTGAGAGTAAGGGGCTTCTGGACCTTCCTTCTTCCTCCATCAGTTGACTTGCTCTGATTGCTTCCAAGGCTGGCTTTGGGCAGCTGTGCTCAGGCCTTTGGGGTAGGCTGGGGGTGTCTGTTGCCTTTCTCAGCAGTTTGTGGTCAAGGCATTTGGAAGCTTGTTATAGCTAGCTGAGATTAGAAACCAAGCAACCAGAACAGCCTGACGCTTAGAGGTGGGGCCAGTCCTTGGGACAACTGGGAAGTGTGAGATCACAGAATGGCAGAGATGGAATAGACCTCAGACATCATCTAGTCCCTGAACTGATCACCCCTCCAGCCTGTGGGGCCACCATCCCTTCTCAGGAGCCCAATTTGAGCAGTTATGTGAAGGTCCACCATCCACCATCCGAGGTCCATAGAAGCAGCCCTTAGATGACTGCTGGCTTGAGGCCTACCTGCCCAACCCACCCTGTGGCCAAGCCACTGTGTGAAGTCCTCACCTCACTACAGAGGATGCAATCTGTCATATCTGTCCCAACTGTCCTCAGTCTCAGCCAGGAGCCCGGGTCTCTCCATGCACCCACTGGCTCCCAGACCCCTTCCCCACACCGCTCTGTGCATCTTCTTATGGGTCTGGCCTCCCACTGCCATCTCCCCTCCTCCCGTCCCTGCTCTATGACAGCAAACTTCTCTGTACCCGCAGCCCTTCCCTGGAACGTTCCCTCCTCGCAGGCTGCTCTCCTCTCAGGCGGAGCTGCTATCCTCACACCCGCCCCTCAGGGTCAGGGGGGCACTCTGCCACCTTCCTGGCGCCCCAGGCCGCTCCTGTACTCTCCTCCATCTTGTGAAAGCCCCTGCTCCTTGAGCCCCCCACCATTCAGCCCCTTCCCTCCCCTGATGCTCTCCCCAGCCGCCTGGTCGACCCACTCCCTCACTGACCGCCTTGGCCCCTGGACGTCCTTTCCACCCCAACTCCTTCACCTTTCCTGGGTCTTCACCATCCACAGGCATGACTTTTCCAGGATCCTAATCTTGTTGCAAAAAACACTTTCATATTTTAGCTACCCATCACCAAAAAGACATACCTTCCAGATCCCAAACCCACACATTTCACTCTCTGGCCATCATTTCTCATCCTTCCAACTTCTTTTCTTGAGCCTTCCTACACAGGACTTTGACCTTTTCATGCACCCAGGCTTCCTGGACCTGTTCTTTCTCACTACGCATCAGAGTCCTCCTGGCTTCACTTCCCTTTCTGCCCTAGAATCAATGGTCCTTCAGGGGAATCATTCCCTTGCACACACTGCCCATTCCCTTGTCTCTCTGGCTCCCCTACCTGCCATGGTGCTTGGCCTTTATGGCTTGTAGAACTTTTGGAGACACATGCTTTGGTTCGGACAGTTTGGTGGTCACATATGATGTATTCCGATTTCTGTCTGGACAAGGTACTGAGGTTCAAAGAGGTTATGGGGCTTTTCCACGTTTGCCAAAACTGAGACTCAAACCCTTGCCTCCTGATCCTGAGTCCATCTAGCCTCTTGAAGGCAGCCCTTCTAGAATAGGTTGGGGTTTGGGCACCTAGTGATGGGGTTGTGAGTCGGGGCAGGGCACCCCAGTAGAGGGGAGTGTGTTCCCTGGCAATGACAGGGGCAGGCAAGGCAGGCGTCCAGAGTGGGACTGTGCTTTTCCTCATAGGCCCCTTAGATGCTGAGAAATCCTCTCCCAGAGGCCCTCTTGCAGAGGTGTGCTGGCCATGAAATGCAACACCAGATGCAATTGGTAAAGCACTCTGTCTAAAACAGAATTCCTCCAGCTTCCCAGCCTTCTGCAAATCCCATTTCTTTCCTTGCTGGGGCTCAGGAGGCTGAGGGCCCTAAGTCACTCTGCACATCAAAGACGCCACCAGGGTTCTCTGTGCAGCCCACGGAGGCTTTTAACCAGCCTTCTGACAATAAAATTGCTTTTAAATAAAAACCAAGACTCTATATTCGGCA